GAATCACTAGAAAAATGTACAGTATCCTCTTGGTATTACAATTGAAATTGGAGTGGTGGGGTTTGTTTTTCCCCCTGATTTTTACTCTGGAAAGATGTATTAAAATACTTGCTCAAGTAAATGATAATATCATTGTCAATGAAAATATCATTAGTGTCAAATATATTGACAATACTATCTATTCTACATTTGCTATCTTACTATCCTGTCCAGATGTTGACATCTGTAGGAGAGGCCTCTTGAGAACACCAACAACTGCAGAAGCCTGCTTGAAGAGAGGGATTTCATCTGTGTGGCTTCCAGATATCCCCTTCCAGAGTTGCAATCAGTTTTTACTCTTGCTGTTCTTCATAGGTGTATGAAGATGTATCTTCTTCAATTGGCTTACTATACAGAGCTGGTTAAGTCATTGTAATCATTTAAACTGTTTATAGAGTTGATTTATTTTAATGGTTTTTAGTGTTGTGATTCATTTTATTTTATCTTAATGATTCTATGCAGAATTTGTTTTTACCATTTTAAAAATATGTTTTATAAGCCTCCTTGAGCGTTACCTAATAATGGAAAAGCCAGGCAAGAAAATGTAATAATCAAATGCTAGCAAGCAAGTTAGATGATCTGCAAAGGTTGCTCAATAAAGTCAATGCATGTCATAATAAAGATGGTCTAAAAAGTGACATAACCCCTTTGTTAGAGCAGTTAGCAAAAATGGATTAGTTGCTAAATGGCTGCTGATCCATGTCCAGGCAAAATTCAAAGTGATGGTTCTAACCTATAAAGCCCTAAAGGCTTGAGACCAAGTTATATCAAGGACCACATCTCCCTTTATATGTCTGCTTGAGTGTTAAAATCATCAGGAGAAGCCTTTGTCTTGAATCCACCACCTTCACAGGTATTTTTGGTGGAGACATGGGAGAGGGCCTTCTCTGTTGCTGTTCCCAGACTCTGGAACTCCCTCCCACAAGAAGCCAGGCTGGCTCCATCTTTGCTGTCCTTCTGTCAACAGGCAAAGACCTTTCTCTTCAGGCACGCTTTCCCTCAGATAATGGCTGTTGTGTGGGTTTTTTTAAGTGGATTGTTGTACCTTACTGCATTTGAAGTGTTTTGGTGTTGCATATGTTTTTTAGTATTGTAATCATTTGCTCCTTTTAGTAGTGTTTACTCACTGTTGTTAATTTAAATACTGTTGTTTAATTGTTGTAAACCACCTTGGGTCCTTTTTAAGGAGGAAGATGGGGGAAATATTTTAAATAAATACATAAATAATCTCAGGCTGTGCTAATGGATATATACTTGAATGGTTTTTGTTCACTGAGGATGAGATTTTCAGTGGCTTCCTGCTGTTCTTGAATTCTCATTCAACTTATGGCAAGCTTTATATGGCTTTCAAAGTATGTGAGCTATTCAAAGAGTGGGTTACTGCCTTTGCCACCCCTCAATGAATTTCCACGGTTAAGCAAGGATTTCAACTCAAGTTTCCTGAATCAACATTTTATCTAATATACCACATCAGTTCTCATCAGTGGCTACTTTCATGTTGCCTCCAACATCAGAGGCAATATGTCTCTCCACTCCAGTACTCATTCTGCGTATTAAGTGTCGTTAACTGTTATTTGCATCCAGCTGTGGCTAAACAAACATTGTTTGATGTTCTTTTTATGAAGTTCAGTTTTGGCTACAACAGGGACAGAACAACCTTCCTTATGCTTTGTGATAACACAGCAACCGATAATTGGAGTGGAGTATTCTCTCCATCTCACAATCTAACAAGGTAAGAAAGGAAGCTATTTGTTCTTTGGGTAATGGTTAATGCCAAACTGTTGTTATTGTTTCTTTCTCTCTTGCTATGGCTTTCTTCTTTAAATTTTCCGTAGCCAGCAGCAGGGATCAAAATTTCCTTTCTGCACTCACAGGATTACCAAGAAGCTACAGAACATAAGCTGACAAATGCACTGTTCCATACTAATTTCAATTGTGCAAGAGAAATATTGTACAGTACAGAATGCTGAACTATTCAAATGAATGCATGGTAAATGGCAACCGTCACTACTTCTAGGGTGTGGGGGACAGAGTTGTAGGTGGTTTTGGCTGAAAACACATATTATTTAGGTAGATGGGCAAGCTGAAAGCAACCATTATGCTGATTGCACAGTGATCAGCATGATGTTCTGAGACAAGATAAGTTTTCTAATTGCATGAAGCAGATGACTAATAATTGCACACAGCACAAGTTATCAGCTTTATGTACCAAGGCCCAGTGCAGCACTAGAAAAAAATATTAAAGGAGGGGAGAGAGGAATAAATAGCAACATTTATGAGAGCCGCATGCTTGAGTTGTTAGGCGAATTGTTCTCTGCAGTACAAGGAAAGGCCAAAAGGGAGCAGCTATTTACTTTACAGGAACATCCACCCAGTTAGTTTTAACACACCTCAGAATGCATCTCACTCTAACTTGTTTTCTTGGAATCAATTTATTAAAATAGCTGGAGAGAAAAAAGAAATTCATGTCACAGTAAGGGCCAGATGTAATGTACATGCAGCAATAGAATAACAAAACGTCTTGTGGCAACTTAAAGGCTAGCTTGTAAAAAAAAAACCTCAATCTTTTGTAGGCTGTGGTTCATGATAGCTTATGACAAATAAATTATGCAAGTGTGTCAGGATTATAGGCAGGATTATGGCTAGACTTTGCACCAAGAACACTTTCCTAGAGGTGGTCTCCTGCCTTTACATGCATAGTGAAGTCATTGTCCTGTAACAGGCCAATAGCATCTTTTGCCCACCCTTTTGCTTTAATACCAACAGCAAATACTGAAACAGCTACCCATCCATCTTGAAACCATTGTAGAGATACTACAATTGCAGAGAAACTATACAGAACATCTAGGATTATTTTAAGTAATCCAGAAATGGATTTCCTCATTAATCACCTGGAAAAATATTCCAAGTATGTAGAATGTGTGGAAATGAAGCAAGTTGTGTGACCTTTGTGATTACTCTGTTCCTTTTCTGGAGTTTACAGTAGTCTTGGTTTGTTCTTTAATTTTATTTTATTCAAGTGATATAGAATGAAGAAACCTACTTATCTGGGTTTAATGGTTAGACTTTTAAACTCAAGAAACCTGAGTTCAAATTCTCACTTGGTTAAGAATCTCACTAATTTGACCTACCCCATGGGGCTGTCGTGACGATCAAGTACATAGAAGAGGACCCACATACCCTACCTTTATTGACTGGTGGGACATACATTTAACAAAAATATATTAATAAATAAAAGCTTCTAGCAGATTCATCTTGGATCTTAAGAAAGGATGAGTAATTGAGTCGCCTTAAATAATTGATTTTTCCAGATTGCTTCTTCATATGCAAGTCTACTAGTCCTGTTCAGCACAATGAGTAAAGAAGAGTAGGGCTGTCCAGCAGGAGGAGAAGTTGGGATGAAGAGTATTCAAGAGGAGATCTCTAGAATGACAGAAGAGTAAATTGGACGTTGTTGAAAATGTAAAGCTGGGCAATAGAGTGGGAGAGGCAATCAACCAGAGGAAGTACCCTTAAGTTGGTGGATGGTTAAAAAATTACAGATGCACAGATTTTTTCAGTTATATTTTTGTCTATGTTGATTCACATGATGCCTTTAAAATGCAAACTTCTTGATTAGAGTTCTTTGGTGCCCCACATTCTCCTATCAGTTGCATATTTCAAGACTAGTTTTGTTTTTGTTCAGTCGTTTAGTCGTGTCCGACTCTTCGTGACCCCATGGACCAGAGCACGCCAGGCCCTCCTATCTTCCACCGCCTCCCGGAGTTGTGTCAAATTCATGTTGGTTGCTTCGATGACACTGTCCAACCATCTCATCCTCGGTCGTCCCCTTCTCCTCTTGCCTTCACACTTTCCCAACATCAAAGTCTTTTCGAAGGAGTCTTCTCTTCTCATGAGATGGCCAAAGTACTGGAGCCTCAGCTTCAGGATCTGTCCTTCCAATGAGCACTTGGGGTTGATTTCCTTTAGGATTGATAGGTTTGTTCTCTTTGCAGTCCAGGGACCTCTCAAGAGTCTCCTCCAGCACCACAATTCAAAGGCATCAATTCTTCGGCGGTCAGCTTTCTTTATGGTCCAGCTCTCACTTCCATACAACACTACAGGAAAAACCATAGCTTTGACTATTCAGACTTTTGTTGGCAAGGTGATGTCTCTGCTTTTTAAGATGCTGTCAAGGTTTGTCATTGCATGGTCGAATAAACAGCTAAAGCCAGAGCAGCAAAACCAGGGACTCTGCTTTTCTGCCAAACTTGCATAGGGAAAGCTGACAAGAATACTTTCCAACAAAGGATGTCCTACCCTTTTAAGCACTGAGAGATAGCTGTCCTGTCAAGAGGACTGTATCATGCCTCGCCCCTTTTGCTTTTGCATATGGAGAAAAGAACGCCCAAATATGAGATCTGAGCCCTAGGTTTAACTGGTTTCAGTATTATGGACACATGCAGGCTTTTAGTTACGATATACTTTAGTCCAGTTCTAGTGATAATATTGCTATTATTACGTAATTAACAGTCCAGAAATAGGCTTTAACATCTGGGAAAGTTGTTAAAACCAGAAGTGGATTTTTCTCCCACCACCCCTTGGCAAAGGCTTGAGTCTTTGTCAATTTAATCCTGTTTCGATTGGCAGAAACTGAACAGGTACAACTTTCCTTCGGCTGTGTCTCAGGACTGGGCAGAAAGTCTGCACCGCACGTACCCTATTGCAAGGCTCTTAAAAGCAAGCGAAACTCAGAAAGGTGAAAAACCCAAGGCTGCAATCCGCGAGTGCCCGTTAAATTTAGAAAAACGTGCGTAGGCACTGGTTGCACGTTGACGATGAAATTTGACGGCAGAGGGAGATTCAAGGCAAACAATGAATCGATCTCCCCATTCCCTCCCTCCCTTCCCGCCTCGCCTCCGGCCAGTCAGCTGGTTTTGACATTTGAGGCAGAAAATCCTACAGTCCTCCCTGGCGCGGCAATCCCAGTAAAGGAAGGGCAGACTCTTTCGCGACCCTTGGGCGAGGCCTGGCAACAGTGACCTGAGGCCGGCGCCTCGCATGGCTTCAGGGCCGGGCCTTCCCGCCGGGGGAAGAGACCGCGCCCGCTCCCTGCCTCCCGGAGAGCAAGCCCGCCTCGCCCGCAGTTGGCTCGCTTCGCGCGCCCAGGGACGACGGGCCGTCCTTCCCCGAAACCGGGAACGAAGCGCGGGCGGCGCGTCCTTGGAGCCGCAGCTCAGGGCGGAGGCGGCGAGTCCACGAGGCGGGAGCCCCGCGCCTCCATCCCGCGTCCCGGGCAGCAAGCAGCCTCTCCACCGCAAGGACGCGGCTCGCCCGCCCGCCAGCCGTGGGCGTCTTCTTCCCCGGCGGGCTCAGCCTCTCACGAGCCCTCGCTGCGGGAGGAGCGGAGGTGAATTCCTGCGGAGCCCGCCTCGCGCTCGCAAGGGCGCCTCTCCGCCAGGCTCTTCAAAGCAGGTAAGGGCGAGAGCAGGAGAACTTGAGGGGAATTTCGGCCGCTCGGCTTTCCTGTGCGCCTTCAGGACTTCTTTCCCCCTCCTGCGCCTCGCCACCGCCGCCGGCAGCCACGAGGCGAGGGCTCCCCGGGGGGTTTCGCGGGCGCGGGACCGGCGGCTTCCTGGCCGCTGCTCGGGGAAGGTGAGGAGGAATAGGGCGGCTACGCTTTCCTCCCTCCGGCAGCATTTCCCGCCACCAGCCGTCCGTCCGTCCGTCCGTCCCCCGGCTTTAAACGACACCACCTGAGGAGCGGCGGGGCTGTCCCGCCTTCCTGCGCCTTTTCGCGGCAGGACCGGTCGCGGTGGGTTTCCTGAGCGCGTGCAGACCGGCAGGACCCAAAGAGGTCGAGAGTAAGGCGGCGATGGAAGCGGATTTAGTCGTAAGCCCTCGCCGAGCTCGGCCCGGGACGGACTCTTCCCTAAGCCGAGCGGGAGCCTCGGGCGGCTGGTCTGGGCCGGAAACGGAGCCCGGTGCCGCCTGTACTTGTCTCGCCGCGTTCGGACCGCAGGTTCTCTCAGAGACGCGCTTCCCAAGTACAGTATTCGGAAATACGGTCGTTGCTCCTGAGTATCAGATTGCTTAAAACGGAATGACTTATCAGAGCAAGTTCTGTTTCTGATACTCAGATATCTCCGCAGCGACCTGTTAAAAAACTGTACAATTGTTAGCTTTAACGCAAGAGGGCTCATAAAGTCAATTGAAGAAAAAAAAATAACTTTTAAATCTTTCTGTGAGACGCGCATCTGTCACCTTGCAGTTAACAGGATGAGGTTTATCAGAATACCAAAACACAACCGGAATTGCCCCAAAGTTCTATTAGGCTTTTTACTCTAACATTCATCCAGGGAGATTTTAGAAATTAAATACACACACGCACACCTCGCATTTAATGACTTCTAAAGTATTATCTGACACCTCGGGAATTTTGACATGAAAATGCCCCCTTATGGGTGGGAGTGTCTGTGGATGCGGGCACAGGGCTATTCCATAATATCAAAAGACTCAAATACAGAAAACCTTTTTGAAAAAAAAGTTGAGCCTGCTAAAATGTTGTGACTACCATTATTATTTTTTTTAAAATATCGTTTCAGCAGATCAGGAAACTATCTTAAACAAGGAAGGAAAACTGTAGGAAGACAGATGGCTAAAATCCTGTTGCTTAGTGTACTAAATATGCTGTCCTTCTGGAAGGAAAGACCTTCAGACAGGCTGTCTGAGATGAGATTTTTTAAACAGAGTGTTGTGCCTTCTTCCTTTTAAATGTGTTTTTAGGTATTGGTTTTAATTCCCATTTTAAATATTTTATTTTAATGGTGTAAGTCTCCTTGGGTTAAGGAGAAAATCAAGGTTAATATGTTTTAAATAAATAATGAAATTACCCTGGCATATGGACCTATGGCCAACTCCTCCATGAGTTCTATTGATCTTAATAGGTCTACTCTAACTGCAGCTTACTTTAGCATAGTAAATTACAGTTAAGAGTTATGGCCATTTGAATCAATGGAACTCATGGAGGAGTTGAATCTCCCCATTGATTCAATGGGTCTGCGCTAATGTGATTTACTATGCTAAACAACAGGATTTTGCCCATTGTATGCTGAAGGAAATATTCCCCACTGTAGAGCCCTTCTTTTTGCACCCTATTGACAGCTATGGCATGACCCTTTAATAGTCCTTGAAAGCAAATTTCCCACATGTGGTGCACTGTCTGCTGATTTTCTCATCTTTTGCATAGTTCAGAAATGATAGCCAGGAGGACAGAGTGTGCATGTCTTTATGAATGGTGCCAGCACGTGTTTGGTCTTTAGTTAGCAGACTTCTGCCATTTCTAAGCTGGTGAAGGAATGCATTTTCACCACATTTTGTCCAGTGCAGACGATGTTGCTTAAACACTACTGTATAATCATGCTGGGCTCTGTGACCAAGTTATGTCTTTTGTTCCATAGATCATGCAGCAAAGAACACTTTCTATGTGACGGGTTGACAGGTATCTGTGTGAGAGTTTGATGTGATGATCTCAGGATTCTTCCTTTTGCCCAATAACTTCACCAGACTCTGTTTGTATTCGTAACGATCTGACATTTATTTTTGGACTGACAAATAAACCATTGTCTTGAACTGGCATATAGTCTCTTTCTCCTTCCTCCAGCGTGGTGGGAAGGGGCTTCCAATCTTCTAAAACGAAGGGGTTACATTCGTTCATCGTTATTCCCGTCTGTACGGGCAACAGGGGCACGGATGTGGCTCCAAGGAAATTCTCCCACTTGGGGTGTTCCCCGGGTTCCAGTGTCTCCCAGGCCTGCTCCAGTCTGCTGTCTTCATCATCTCCCTCGCTTGCCATTCACTCCTCTCCCTTCTCTCTTGTTCTACTCTGTCTCTTTCTTCTCTTTACTTCTTCCTCCAGCCCCTAGCTTCTACTTCTCCCCAGTAAGATGGTCTGGGAGGAATCACCGCCCTTCTCCTGTGGTCCGCCTCTCCTCTAGGCACCTTCAGTTTCTCCCACTTCTGGGTCCAAGGATCTTGCAACCAGATGCATTCCCAACCTGTAGGTAATGAATCCTCTCTATCACTTCCCCCACTTCTCTCTCCTCCCTCTCTCTACTTTCCTTTCCCGCCTCTTTTAACTGCTCTTCCTTTACTCCTATCCCCCTCAAGCCCTGGGACAATTCCTCCTCTTTTGCCCCCTGGAGGGACTCCTCTGGGGCTTTCTCTGGAGTCATCAGGAGTCCACATTCCCCTCCTTTCTCTGTCTCCTTGGCAGGAATGGACGACCCTCCAGTGAGCAGTGATGGGGACCCCGCCTCGCCTCCAGGCTCACAATCTGACACTTTTTTGTTTGTTTGTTTGCATCCTTCTTTGACTCTAGTCATTTTCAAATGATATATCTTGGCACCATATGCTATCTTATGGTACCCAGATACATCATTTGGAAAATCTGAGCCTGAGCACCAAGTCCTTTTCTACCTCCCTCTTATCAGATCATCATCTCCATTTTGTCTTTCCTGGACAGGATCCAATATGTGTTCAGGTACTGCTCTCCCACCTCTAGATCTGTTCCTGGGACTCATTACATCTCAGTGTGTGTGGACTAATTGCCAAATGATGTGCTTGTAATTAAGGAATACTCTAAGAGAAAATTTCATTCAGACTTTGAGTAGCTTATTCAAAAATACAATGTCTTCATCTTCCGATATGCAATGATCCATTTTGCTCTGAAAGACCAACTCTATAGCTTCTATTGAAGTGTGTTTTTCCCCATTTACTCACTCTTCCAGACTGCAGAACATGTAACACAGAAACATGTGTTACCAGGTGTCCTTTTTTCTATCCCTGATTTTCCTTTTTCCAGCAATGCAACCCAACTCACTATGACACAACAGTAATGTGGGTTGATACGTGCTTTTTGTGTTTTTGAACAGCAATCATCAGAATTCTCCAGCAATTCTAAAATTGTAACCCACCAATCCAAATCTGCACATCTGTAGGTTTCATCCTTCACCAGGAGTATTTGCCTCATCAGCTTCTCAGGCTTTTGCTTCCTGTTGATGGTATATTGTTGTTCTTTTTAAAGGAAGAAGTGGTAATCTTCTTGCTTGTTAGGCTTCATAGAAGACATTTCCAAAAAATCTCTGGAAGCAGTGTGTCAGCTTCTTCTTTTACCAACCAATATGTATCAAGAAAAAAGGTCTGTGAGGATGCAGGTAAATTACTTGAAAGCCCCTCAAGGGGAGGGGGCAACAGAACCAAAGTGTGCACATATGAGTTGGGGATTGCAATTCTGGAAATGCTTAAACCAAAACCAATACACGTTTAATGTGAATGAAGCAGCCATGGATTTATCCTCTAGTGAATCCTGAGTTTTTAGGAGACTCCTAAGTTCCTAGCTGCAAAGTAAGTACTTGTATATTTTTGCGTTCACAAACAGGACATTTCATCATTTTAGTAAAAAAAAAAAAAGTTGCTTATATAGATAGTGGAGTTTCACATTATACTGATCTCCCACTTTGCTTGTGTTCTGGTAATGGAAGAGGTTGTTTCTCATTGGAGTTTTTTTTTATACCAGTAATATATATATATTTGGTCTAATACTTTACATTGTAAAGACCAAATAGTACCCACAAATAGTACCAACCAAAACCAATACACGTTTAATGTGAATTGGACCATTAGAATGGTCTAATGCTTTACATTGTAAAGACCAAAAAGTACCCAATTGAACAAATGCAATGGACTTTTTCACATAATTATTGTCAAAACTTGTTTATCTGTTAGAAAATCCAAACCCTTGTATAAAGAAAGTGTTTGAATCTCAGAGACATTGTTTGTAATTCTTCATGTGGCAATTTGATATTATTCCTATGTTCTAGTTGTAGTTCTGAGTGACTTTTGCAATCCCTTCGTAGGGTAAACTTTTCTGCAAGCAAAGAACATTCTCTTCAAGCAAGCTCTGCCTGAACCACTGGTTGCCTGACTGGGATCTGAAATAGATTCTTGGCCCTACTGCTTTGAATGTGTTTTCATGTTGCTCTGTTTTACCATATTTTACTGTGGTATTTGTTTGATCTTTTTTAGCATGTTGTATGCTCTTTTTTTAGTAGCTTTAAATATTGTCTGGATTATTTTATTAAAGAGTGGTATTTGTTTGATCTTTTTTAGTATGTTGTATGCTCTTTTTTTAGCTTTAAAAATTGTCGATGGATTATTTTATTAAAGACACCTTGGGTGCTTCTTAAGAAGAAAGGTGGGATAGAAATGTTTTAGATAAATATTAAAATGTATTGTCTGCCTGGGTGAAAGTTAAACATTAATCCCCAGATTCCTGTGCCCTACTGCTTTGAATGTGTTTTCATGTTGCTCTGTTTTACCATATTTTACTGTGGTATTTGTTTGATCTTTTTTAGTATGTTGTATGCTCTTTTTTTAGCTTTAAAAATTGTCGATGGATTATTTTATTAAAGACA